CGCGATGCAATTGTTGGGCATCACCAGTCTCGACCAAGCGAATCCAGGGTTTCTCAATACTTCTCGGCTGGAGAAGTTGTTGCCGTCCATCACATTGGAGAACTCAGATATAATGAGCCCGCGACAGTACTTCCAACCAACTCCGAAGCTATAGCTGTCTCGGCGACTGGCAACTTCATCTCGCTGCCGTTCGACGATAGGTATGGATCAAGCCGAATCAACCTCCGGCTCAGGCAGATACAAACCGTTTGCATCTGCACTGAGGGATTCTTGCACTCCTATTCAGATCCAATAGCCTAAGCAGGTTATTCTTGTGTCGTTCCGCTGTCTCCTCTTTCGATCATTCCGGACTTCATGTGCGGCCGATGGCACATTGTCACACGAAACCCCATTTGTAGCTCCCTGGCCTCGGCTGGCCGCAAGGAACGGTTGGCAAGGATTGGGAAGTAATATTAGGGAAACGGCAATTGTGCAGGGATTTCCCTGATTGGGGCTTTCGGAGTTGATTGCTACGCATCGTGAACGTAAGTCAATCCGATGTTCAAGGCGAAATGCTGTAACCTCGTATTGTGAACGTGTCTATAACTCCATCTTGATGTGACACCCCTATGATCTTAACTGAGCATCACGGAACTATACCACATACGGCCGCGCGCGTAGCGTAATCCTCTAACCCACTCGAGTATTTTCGTATTTATCGAAGGGGAGAGTATATAAGAGGCGCGATCAAGATTGATACTTCGTAGCACGAGTTAGCCAGACTATAAGGAGGGAACGGAGTCGTACGTGGAGGAGACTACCGAGTATTTCGATTGAAATGTATCAGCCTTCGTTAACTATTAGTTTATACCTCGGTTGATGGCGCAAGTGCTTTTCATAGAACTCACTAGCCTAACCATTTTATCTTTCCGAGTACGTAATGCTCTTTTGATGCTTTCCCGCATATATTGATGCATTCATAAAGATACCGACTCAAGCCTCGCAAAGCCGCACATTCCGTCGGCTCGTCAGTTGGCCTAGCGAAGAAAAAGATATCTCCTCATGCAAAGCCGTCGCCAGGTGATATTTGCAGTGTTTGCCATTCGCTTAGGCCTGTTTTCGCTGGACTCTGGATGCTGTCCGCGGAGCCAATCGAGGACAACCGAAGGGCGTTGAAGGTGATTTGAGGATTGTAGCAATCTGTGTGAAAGGGTCGGCTGAACCCTGTGAGCTCGCTGTGGAGAAGAGCTCACAAATACAAGGCCTAATAGTCGACGAGTTTATCAGTTTACACTTTTGGATATTTTGCCAAGGGCAGCGCAGCCTGCACCACCAGCACCGTCGGCACTTCTCCACGTTTGACTTTCCACTGCCAAGTTCCATCATCTTGGTTCAATTTCCTCCAGCACGAGCTTGGCTGAATGATGTCCGTTTTAACGATCTCAATAATGAGCGGAGCCAAACGGGGCGGAGGATGTCGGAAAGGCTGGTTTGGGTAGAAGAAGCCATGGCATGAGGGTGTATGGGGCAGATATTGACCGGCCCGGTTTGGTTCTACCTAATGGGGTGGGAAGTTTCGTAACGACTATGCGACTGTACCACTTGATTAGCTATTATGCCACGCACATTAAATCGATGACCACTTGAACAGCCTCCGAGCTTATTGGCCGATCACATTGAGCGCTCGGTGTTCAAAACATGGCAAAATTGGAGGGGCGGGAGGATGAACAGGCCATGGTGCCAGAGATCAAGCGAGGCACCTGGATCGGAAGGAAGTCGCTAGGAGCTACTGCATCTGAGCAAGGGTCGAGGAGGGATGAACAACCAAGCAATGTCAAGCTCGCTAGGTCCCGTGGGTGTAGCTGTGGTCGAGGATGATCTTTGGGTATCATTAGGCCTGATTGATTGTCCTGTGGAAAAAGAGGGGCGCAGGAGGAAGAGGAGGAGGAGGGCACGAGGGGTGTGTATCTCATGAGCGAGCGCTCCCAATTTTCTGGCAGCACCTGAAATGTGGTGACACCGCAGACACCTAATTGGGCTCCATTAAGGACTTAGTCAGGTAGCCTAACTACCTAGGTACAAAGCTCGGTCAGTACCTGGGCGTGCTGAGCTTGTTGGCTCGCTGTCCCCGCCTTGTACGCGTTTCTTCTACTCCACCCCACTGTGCACACCACCTTTTCCATCCAATTGTCACCCAAATTGTAGGAACTTGCTCTCATCATCCCATCCGTCTCTCAGTCATCTGCAGAGACGACCCGAACTTCCCTGGAGCTACCAGAGCTTCGTCATGCCCTGACGACAGTTCAGGAATGCGATGAGAGCCTGAGCTTCCTGCTCATCCAATCATCGAACCTGTCACTTCTTGTTTCTTGCATCTCAGCTGCGTTGTCGACCCCAGCTGCCAGAACAGAATCCTGCACAGCTTGACTGTCTCTTTCGCTCGTCAATCCTCGATTGTCTTTTCTTCTTCCTCACCGCTTTGCCTACTGTCGAACGGTACATTGCTAGTTATAACCACGACAGTTTTCCTTTCCTCCCAATACTCTCCATCCTTTCCTCATCTCCATATTACATCTTTCCTTCGAGACTTTGTTCCTCTCAGAGAAACTAGAAACCAACATGGTTCACCTAGCCCAAGTGACGAGTGATCCTAACAAAGGCCACCGTAGTGAATTCGGACCCCCAAAACGTCGGGCTTCAGTGGTTCCTGGCCTCGAGCACATCTCTCTCGAACCTCCCGGGGAAGATGAGTTCTCCACTTCTGTTTACGGTTCCCGCTTTGCTGCGGAGGATCTCCCCTCCCACGAGATCCCTGAGAAGGAGATGCCAAAAGAGATCGCATATCGTATGATCAAAGACGAGCTTAGTCTTGACGGCAACCCTATGTTGAAGTGAGTTGTTGAACAGCCACGAAGCTCCAAGGTTGAAGTTGACAAGACTCTGTCACTAGCTTGGCCAGCTTTGTCACAACATTCATGGTACGTTTCCCGATGCCACTTTATGTAAACTTGAGCGCCGACTTACCGTCTGTAATCAGGAAGATGAAGCCGAGAAGCTCATGACCGATGCCTTTTCCAAGAACTTCATTGACTACGAGGAATACCCCCAGTCGGCCGAGATTCAAAACCGGTGTGTCAACATGATTGCACGTCTCTTCAACGCCCCCGAGACTGAAGGCGGGAAGAACGCAATGGGAACCTCCACAATCGGGTCAAGCGAGGCCATCATGCTGGCTGTCCTTGCCATGAAGAAGAGGTGGGCAAACAAGCGTAAAGCCGAAGGGAAGGATTTCTCAAGACCCAACCTGGTCATGAACAGCGCTGTCCAGGTGTGCTGGGAAAAGGCGGCTCGGTACTTTGACGTTGAGGAGAAATACGTGTACTGTACCGAGGACCGCTATGTCATTGACCCAGAAGAGGCTGTCAACCTGATCGACGAGAATACGATCGGCATTTGTACGATTCTCGGGCTGACCTATACTGGCGAGTACGAGGACACCCAAATGATCAACGACCTGCTCGTGGAGAGAGATATTGACTGCCCGATTCACGTGGATGCAGCATCCGGCGGCTTTGTCGCTCCATTCGTCAATCCCAACCTGGTCTGGGACTTCCGCCTGGAGAAGGTTGTCAGCATCAATGTCTCCGGTCACAAATATGGTTTGGTCTACCCTGGTGTCGGCTGGGTTGTCTGGAGATCACCCGAGTACTTGCCCAAAGAACTCGTCTTCAACATCAACTATCTCGGCGCCGACCAGGCTTCTTTTACCTTGAACTTCAGCAAAGGAGCTAGCCACGTCATTGGCCAGTACTATCAAATGATCCGACTTGGCAAGAGAGGTTATCGTAGTATCATGCTCAATCTCACACGCACCTCAGACTATTTGGCTGCTCAGCTCAGAGCCCTAGGGTTCATCATCATGTCCCCCGGTGGAGGCCGATCCCTTCCCGTGGTTGCATTCCGTCTTGACCCGGACAATGAGCAGATGTTTGACGAATTTGCCATTGCCCACCAGCTTCGAGAACGTGGATGGATTATCCCTGCCTACACAATGGCCCCTCACAGCGAGAGCCTCAAATTGATGCGTGTTGTGGTCCGCGAAGACTTCAGCAAGCAGCGCTGCGATGCCCTGGTCACCGATATTAAGATGGCACTGCAAGTGCTTGGAGAGATGGACAAGAAGACCATGGAGCGTTACCAAGAGTACGTTGTACCCTCTAACCTCGTTTTGCCTTTCCAGGTATCCTGACCATTGGCAGACACGTGAAGAAGCATCACACTAAGACTGGAAGAAACGGTCGCAATGTCGCGGCTTACAAAGACGAGAATCACTCTCTGCAGGGCAAACATGGGAAGACGCATGCTATCTGCTAGTTGATTCCTTAGGCCAATCTTCCGTACCCCTGGAGAAGAATGTGCCTGGACAAATCAACTCTCTCTCTCTCTCTCTCTTTGGGGTGGAGAAAACAGCAGCGAGATGATTTCATGATTGGATAAAGACCTAAAAAATGTCATAGTGAAAATGTGCGGCACCACATCTGGGATCTTGCCAACTAGGAGCCAAATGTCGATGCACGCCTTTAAAAGTCCCTGCGAACCATTTGTTGTAAGCTGCATCTCGTGCTTTGAGTCGCGTTGAAATTGTCAACATCGGCCGGCCAATTGAGAGTTGGCGTTACCAGTTTTGGTAACAAAACATTAACGTGGCCATTGATTGGTCGATGATCGAGGGCGGCACAGTCTTCCATCCACCGCAGAGCATGTGATGACGCTTCCTTCAATATTGCCATTGTATGATCTCGTCGGTGACGAGGAGCTAGACTTGATCGCAGTCAATGACGCAATGTTATCATTCTGTGTCACCGGCTGTCTGCATACTGTCACCATCTAATGCCCATCTTACTAGGCCTGACTTCTTTCATCTACCAAATACTTACATACCTGATACAGCGTTAGCAAATCGTGGAAACTGTTGACTACTTACTTTTCTCTACCCCTGACAGCTTAGTCTACGAGCAAAGATGACGCCCAACATCACCAAGGGTCAGACCGACACCTCCAAGTTCATGGGACAAGGACCCACGTCCAAGGAGGAACACCCACACAATAACCCCGTCATGCAGTACAATCCTGCCCCGGGTGCTAAGGTGAGTCAATGATAAAAAGAGGTGGAAATGTGGCTGGACGCTTTTCTCGCGTCGTTTGATCCGATGCTTCCCTCTCTCCTGTTCCTCCAAGTCCAGAGTCTTCAATTGCTGTACTGACAGTGCCATTTCTATTTGCTATAGGCCCCGATGCTGAGCGCTGAGGGTTCGGTCGGCAAGCAATTCACGGCAAAGTGAGTGAATCACGCTGGGTTCGCAGCCTCTTGAGCGATGCAAACCTCTAACATTTGACAAAAATCCAGTGGTGCGATTGGTGGCACAGCACAAAAGATTGGAGGTCCGTTGGATCAGAATGGAATGGTTGGGGGCATGTTCAAAGAAGACGGCGCGATTGGCGGGACTGTGAACAAGATTGCCGGTGGGAAATCATAAATTGCAAACGACAAAGCGAGAATCGACGACGCGGCAACGTTCGAGGTTATCTGTGTAAATATATCTGGCGTCAAAGGTGTATAGACTCAGAGAATGGTGGTGCCGATGGCATGCCTCCAGTGTCGCCTGGCACGGCAGCTTCATGGGAAATAAACCATGCCATGAGCGCCCTGACACAAATTTGAGGATTTGCTCCGCTCCGTGTCCACCACAAGCTCCTTGAGAACCTCCATTCCTGACATCTTGATCACGGACACTGTCCCAGCGAGGATATTCGCGGTGAATCCGAGCTCGCCATCTGCAGAAGCACGCAGAGTTAATGGCATGCCCCCTATCTTGGTCGCGCCAACCAGGGTGTGTGAGTCCGGATCATACACTGCCAGCCTTCCCTCTATGGCCGAGCCATCAGGAGACAGATACTCGCCCACAAGAATCTTTCCGTTCCCTGTAACATATGTTGATTGGGCCGGGTAGTCCAATGGAATCCTGGAAACGATCTTGTCCGTCGCAGTGTCGATGACCAGAACTTCGGGGTTCTCTTGAGCCTTGCCCAACTGAGTGCCGGGTGTTGGAAAGTAGGCATGTTTACCGTCAAGGGAGATGGAACACTCCTCTGTTCCCTTAGGCGTTTCGATCCTGCCAATCATCTGTTGGTTCTCCAAGTCAAGGACCGAGATGAAAGGCGCTGTTTTGTTACAGGTGAAGGCCTTTTTGCCGTCAGGGGTCACCACGAACCAATGCGTCTTGGTCGAGCTCCCGACTTGTTTGATGACTTTGCGAGTTTCGAGGTCGATCCCAACTATTCCTCCGCTCGACCCGGTTTCGTGCACCTCATAGCTGTACCACAGGATGTCTCTCTCTGCGTCAAGAACTAGACCATGAGGACCAAGTGCCGGCTTTGTTTCAATAACATCGATCACCTCTTTCTTGTCCGGGTCAATAACCGAGATCTGGTGGCCATTGTCTCCGTGAGACCAGAAGTGTCCATGATGGTAGGCGTGGCTGCAGTACATGACCTTTCGCTTGCCATCAAACACCAGCTCATGCGGTTCTGGGATGAGGTCTGGCATGTATGCAGTCCTCTCGCCCGACCTAAGGTCGAAAAAACTGATCGAACTGCCAGATTGGCTAACAACAGCCAACGTTCCGGACATGATGCGAATCGATTGGATGGACAAAGGGTCGAAATCTTACAAAAGTGAGGTAGAGCTCCAAGGTCTGTTTGATAGGAGGCCCTGGAGCCATGTTGCCCGTCATTTATATCGGTAAGACTTGCACTGGCATTGTGTTCCCATCTGATCCATGCTCCAGCATTGTTACTTCGGCCGAAGCGGTGTCACCTCGCTTGTATCGCTTTGGAGAGAAATCTTCGCAGGGTCGTCCAGGTACTATCTCCGATTCGTCGCTTCTCGGCCGAACCATCCTATAGCAGAGTAGGAGAAATGTATCCAGTATGGCTTGGTGAGATGAGAGTTTTCTGTATCGTGCGAGGGTTCGAGGCTAGGTAGACTTGACGTCCATTGAAAAATGAACGCAGGAAGGTGTTAAGATTAAGGCGGCGGGGCATTCCAAGAAATTCCCGCTTCACGATTCCACCAGAGTAAAAGCGGCATCCGATCTCTTATTGGCGGAGTTGAGGATCTGCGGTTTCCTCGCCCAACTCATTCCCTTACTCCCTCCCCACCATTTCTATTTCAATGTACGGAAGCACTGTACGAGGTATGCGCTCTGTCTCAATCACCACCACCACTACAACCATTGCTGCTGGCCGCCATCTGGTCAGGAGTTGGACTACCACCGCCTCGTCTTCACCACTGCCCAGTGTGCCCTCAATGTCTCTGCCCCCTACCTATCCCGACTAGATACCCTTAAAGCCATGGCGGGATATAAAGAAGGCCAAAGACTCGTCCTCCTCGACCTCCCAGATGAGGTCCTCGCAGAAATTGTCGAGTGGCTACCAACGCGTCATATCAAGGGCAACGCAGTCAAGGCTTTTCGCGCGACATGCAGTGAGGCATTCCGTGTATGTGATCCTCTTTGGTGGAGACATCTCTCGATCCATTGTCTCTCGAAATGCAGCCGAATCAAGGAATTTCTGAGTCGCCATCCGCGCCGGTATCTCTATGTCCGGGTCCTGGAATTTGGGCCGGACTACCGAGATTTGGCAGAAACGGATAACTTCCACCAAGAGTTGGCAGCGATTGCCTCGCTATGCCCCAACCTGGAACATTTGTGCATCCAGCAATGCAATACCCTGGCAATTTTGGCCCTCAGGAACCAGGTCATGGTATGGGAAACAGAACTGGCTTCTCAGTTTGGATCGTTCAATTTCGACAAGCTGCGATACTGCTATGCCACGCTTTGGCTCTTGCGACCCAGACTACAACGGCCATTGATTCTACCTCTGCTGGGTGCGCGGCGACTTGTCGACCTGACCCTCGAATGCTCCGATCTTCGTCAACTCGGACTGGATTCCATTCCCATGCACTCCACAGCTCTTGAGAGGCTCAGGCTTTCCATGTGTCGGCTCGACCAGCCCACCCTCGCCGCCATTCTTGGTATTCCTCGCTCGCTGGCTACGTTTGAAATCACTCCGCAGGTTCATCACAACTACGATCGTTCCACTGAAGTAGAAGGTTATCGCCTCCTTCTGCAAGCTGTGGAGCTCCTCATCCGCTCTCAGCCAAATCTAATATCTCTTGGACTGACATTCCGGGACGGTTCGAGGTTCGAGTCTGGGGTATTGAATGATTTATTCGACTTTTCCCGGTTGAGCTCGCTCAAGAAGCTCACCATCCACGCAACGAACACCAGTGCTTTCAGACCGTATAGACAGGGCCTTGTGGCCGATTTCTTGTGGTGCCCGATGAATGCCCTCGATAAGCTGCCTGCTAGCCTCAAGGACATCTTTCTCGTGTCTGAGACAGAAGACATCGACCTGGATGGGTTGTCGGAAGCCCTGCTCGAACAGCGCACCGCGGGGAAGAGCCTTCCTGCCTCACTGCGGCTATATTGTGATGTAGAGATGGTCCACGAACAGATCTTCACAGAGACGGAGCAGCATGAAGACGATACAAGTCCTCGAGCCATCGACATTCTCATGATGCAGCTTTCGTTTGTTCAGGTCAAGTATTCGAAGCAATGGGCCGTGATTGACCGAGAGGGAAGAGTTCCGCGTGTTTACAATTACCTCGAATCGCTAGAAGCGAACAAAACAGCCGACGGCGTCAGCGTCAAACGATCGCTAGAACAATCCTAACTCGGTTGAGCTGGAAGCGCGCGCTCTGATAGAACCTACGGATTTTTTAATCCATCGCGTTGGTTGACTTTACCAGGTGCCACATGAGATGAACAGTTTGGGCACGGCTGCACTAGATGTGTGAAAGGCTACGAGGGTGGTCAAGTTATCGCCATCACGAACACAGAGTTTTATGACCTTGGTGAAAACACTGGCGCTCAAAACGAAGTGGATGGCAAAGTCGCATTCGGAATCGATATACTTAAGCCGGACTGCTACGAACAAACTGCTACGAACAAACTGCTACGAACAAACTGCTACGAACAAACTGCTACGAACAAACTGCTACGAACAAACTGCTACGAACAAACTGCTACGAATGAACTGCTACGAAGAAATCATGGGGGGTTTATGTCGCTACAAAAACAGTCTCTTTGGGCACACCCTGCAGCACTTTCAGGTCGAAACACATTCTTCTTCTTATATGCGTTTTGTCGGTGACCAAGACGAATGTCATCCTAGCCTGACGATTGTTAGAATCTGGCTTGCTCGGTGCTGGGAAGAGGCAGGGTGCATCTCGAGCTGGAGTTCAAACAACAGGATGATCGGGAAAAGCCGCAGCCAGGGGCTTTATGATTATAGCCCCAATAGTAGTGATGCATTATATTAATGATTAGTGGTAGATATATGCCCTCTCCTTGGGGGAACAAGGGGGAAAGTGCTTCGAATTAGCTATCTCGGTATGTTCTCGATAAGTGTAAGTCTATCATCCTCGTCTTTGTTGTTTGGTAAAGTAATCACTCAGCACGGAGGATTTCAACGGCGCGACAGACTCGATCGTGTATATTGCTTACTCGTTTTCTCCCAGGCTTTCTTCCCCATGAAATCTTTTCTCCCTGGGACGTTAGTCTCCAGCTCTCCAGCTCTCCAGATCGATATGTGGTATGTACAGCGTAAAAATAGAACGGGGCCACCAGGGGGGATATGGGTAACGTGTGAGGATCCATGTAGCCTATCGGCCTATCTAGGGCCTTACGCCTCTGCGGAGCAAACCTCCGTGACGAACGAGTATCTCGCGAGTATCAAGTGAGAGAATCTGTCTTTTGCACCAAAAGAACATACAGTACGGCGCTAACGGTTTCGCAGGCTCTATTGGATGCAGAGAATATCTAATGTTAGCCTTTCTGACCCCTTTTTCAAAAGTAGGATATGTATGAACAAGGTTAAGAGCTGGTGTCTAGACCGGACGAAAGGCTAACAGGGGGAAGAGCACAGGGAGGGGAGAGACATCGGACCCTGCATTGTTTAGTGCTGGGAGACTTTGCGCGAAAGTTCAGAAACTGTGTGTGAACCCTTTTTGTGCGGCATATGCAAGGGGAGGGAGGAGGTATGGGGTGCAGGGGGTGACCAGGGGGAAAAGAGAACATGGCGAATCACCTGCACACCATGTCGTTATCGTCTCGACTCTTGTCGGGTAGACGCGGTAGGGGTGCAGTAGGAGGGGTCTTGTGGAAATTTTTGCACAGCCACACCATGAAGCATATGCACGTTGTCGATCACTTCTCTATGTCGGCGGGGCGGCGACTGTTCTCGACCTACCTCTGGATCGCGGTATGCTTTGGACGGGGCTCTGTCGACATCGATCACTTCACTCACGGTAGTTGGAAGAAAGTCCCTGTGCTGGATGTGAGAAGCGTACCGCCAGCCGAAACCGGCAGGGACTGCACATGTGAAGTTTCCCTTTCTTCACTTTTTGTCACATATCTCATATCTGCCTCACCGTTGCACGCGGAAAGCTGCCCTTTTGTAGCCATCCCAAATGCCCTCCATACCAACTCTGGCTACTCTCCTAGCGCACGCCACTCAATACGATCGCGGTGGCCCAACCCCGGGCGCTGAGAGTAGCACCTTTGTCAACAGTCGTTCCAACGCTTCAGTACTCGCTTTTAAGTCTAGGGCGGCTTTGTCCTCCTCAGTGACGTCGAGGCCACGTGTCTCCAGCACCCTACTCTTACGCAGCCACTCATTTGTGTCTGTTAGAACTCTTGATATTGACATGTTCACGTCGGACACTGTCTCCTTGTCGTCCTCCACAATAGTCTCCCACAGGGACACAAAGAATGGCTCCATTGTCTCCGAAGGAGTCTTGGTGCGAAGGTTGATGTTGTACAATCTGATATCGGCGACTCTTTGATTCAGTCGCAGCTCTCGATTCTGGAGGAAGAGGTGTACATGCTCTAGCTTGATTTGAATCTCTTCCGAAAGCGGGCGACTCCTGGTCGACGAGCGCAGCGTGTTGATGAGTTGTTTGTAGCGTGTGAGATTTCGAGACGCCTGGTCGGCCAGGGCCTTGACAGTCTTCAGATCGAGTTCAGTCGGCATCCCTGGTTGCGGAGAAGGGGATCGCGGGTTGGGTCGAGGAGAAGTGTTGTAGCCTTGTGGTCTCGAATAGGAGTATGAAGAACGGTGATTGGACTGGCCCTCGCGAGGCTGGTGGCGTGAAGCATCCTCTGGCCTTGATGTGCTTGAAGCCCTCGGCCTTGGGTCACTGTCGTTTGTGGAGCGGGCGGACGACCCATAGTAGCTGTTGTATGCGGAACCTGCCGCAGAGTCACGATAGTCGTTCCAGGAATTGGCGTTGGGTCTTGTCTTGGGGCTATATCCTGGGTGAGCAGATTGTCGACCGGGCGGTGAGTCGTGGTGATGGAAGCCGCTATGGGATTGATCCCGGTGAGTCTGGGCTCTTGATCCTGTCTGATCTTTGCCATGACGATGAGGGTTTTGTGTCTTCTGGTTAGCTGTGTTGTGGCACTTTCGGTCATACTTTGCACGAGTGGTAGGATCTCTAAGGACTTCCCATGCTGTCTGGATTTGGATAAAAGTCTCCTGGGATCCTCCTTTATCAGGATGAGCTTGGAGAACTAGTTTGTTGTAAGATGCTTTGATCTGTTGGTAAGTAGCGTCACAAGAGACACCAAGCACTGAATAATGGTTCACCATTTTGCTTCGCCGTAGAACTGATGGGTGTTTGTCGACAGTGATGGAACGGTGAAGCACAAAAGATGGCTGTGACAAAATACAAAACTTTTTATCTTCTAGTGATTTTGGACTTGTAGTGGGTGTGGCAGTATAGTGAGAGCGAAAGGAATGACTGAATTCACCAGTCCCAATTCTTACGTGGGAATCTATTGACCAGACCTTAAGTGAATGGGAGTTCAAAGAACACCATGAACAAACCGCAACGGCATTGTTCCTGGCTATTCATGCAACGCGAGGAGACAATGATAGAATCGAGGAACAAAACATGTGAGACGTCAAGCCTGGTTGACAAGAAAATTCAACAAAGAGAGGCGGCTTTGATGAAGCCAGTCGATGAAGAACAACCCACAGCTATTACTGCGTGACAAAGGGGTCGCCATGAGACTGTACTGTGATTGACAGAGAGCCTCCATAATCTCATACGAGAATGACAGCGCGGATAGCATGATTCCAAGGACTTGTAGAAACATTTAGGGGATAATGAGGCAGTTGGAGGTTGAGATAGAGAGTATATCGTGGCGTATGCATACACGTGACTACATGTGACTGTGGCGCCATATGTGGCGGTGCTTTGGAATACGCTTCTCAGTCATTACGTCATATGCCAGACTGTATCTGAACGCCACATCAACATCTCGTCCTTGTTTAAGCGTGTCAGCCCAACCCCGACAATCATCGACAATCATCGAGATGCTCACTCTCTAGCCATTATCTGTCAATGCTACGTTCTCAGACAAAAGACTCGCTCGCTTACTTCGGGCATGTCTCACGTCCTGATCATTTCCCCTATCTTATTAGCTTCTCAGTCTGTGCTGGCGACCGCTTCGTAGCCTTGAAAAATGTGGTGGCTGGGCGGTACTCTTTTTCTCATTTCCCCATCTCCTCAATACTGGACTATCTCTGCAGGCGAGTTGCGGAGTGCCAGCAGGAGAGGGCTCTTCGCTTATCAGTAAGCTCCTGATGGCATTTTCTCACGGGAGATTGGTAGCGGTGAAGATGGCACTTTTTCCAACTCCTCTCACTACTCCATCGGCAACTCTTCGATCCTAGCCGGACGTTAGCTCAGAGTATCGATGCAGCCAAGACCGTCCGGCCTCGGTCTCTTCATCCGGTTGGCCCCACTGCGACGTTTTCCCTGATCGTTTTCTTGTCCTGTATGGCTCTTGTCCCGCCGTTGAGGTCACGATCGCTGCTCTGCCTCACACTCGTGGCCACCGCCCCTAGTTCCGCTAGAGTCACCAGCGCCAAATTGCTTCGAACAATGGCCTGAGGCTGACGTGGCCCGCTCATCTCTCGTGAACCGAGCTATTCTTGACTCACTCGAGGGAGTCTAGATGATCAGAGTCTTTCAGACTTGAGTTGGTCAACAGCCAGGACGGCATCTGCATTGGTGTAGAGAGTGCATGCGAGTGCACTAGCCTCATGCATGTTCCAAGTACCGGATATCTCTAGACACCAGCCTAGCCGAGCAAAAGATCAGCTGGTCAGCTGATTTCTATCTTCGGAACCCATGATATGCCTGCTCAACTTGGCTATTCTTGCTGTCACTATTGCCTGAAACACTGCCACTGCCCGTGGCAGATAATCACTTCTTCCTTCGAATCTGGCCACACGGTCGTCATTCCCTCCACCATTTCCGACCTTGGAGATCCGGCTCTGGAACGTGGAGTCATTGGCAAACTGCCCGTGGTGCAAAAAGTGTTGTTGGTTCCTGCGTCTCCCCTCGCCCAGAATCCATGGGATGCCGTTCCTGCAGAACGGGAACCACTAAATTTTATCGGTCTGAGCCTCCCTTCGACCACCGCCCCTTGCAGCCTACCATCCATGCTGCATTTCAAAAATCCCCTCGTTGTTGTATGCGCTGGCGAAAACTTCGCCGTATTTGTCGAATCTCAAGACATAGATCCGACATCAAAAGTAGCCTATTGGCAAAGAATTGATGAGATCTCAGAGTTGAATTGTGTAATCAATTAGTTGGTCGATACATGGGTGTTGATAACGACCTCTAGTAGAAGTCACGCTTGGGTATCATTGTTTCCAACAAACGAAAAATCCAGTAATATGGGTATCTCGAAAAGTCATGTTTCTCGTGAAAAATAATGGTCGGACCTCGCTCGGGGACCCGTATATCATCCCTTCGTTCGAATCGTCCTTCGTTGTACTGAAGTGAAACAAAAGCATCAAAAAAAGAGTCGCAAGAAATCCAGTCGGAGAAATGACCGCAAGCCGTCCTCCATCCGTTGTTGCCAAATATACAATTCTCAGCAGGGGGTGTAGGCGGTCTAGAGCCCGAGTTCGGATACGGCATTTCGCCATTAAAAAGGGTATCAAGAAAGATCAACGGATTTGTTCGATGGCGTGAACCCGAACTCTGCTCCGAAGGTTGCCGCCGTAATGTATGTCGTGTTCGTGATGCAAAACAAATAGAATCAAGAAAGCCAGGGGGTATCTCATGCAATTTCCGGGTCCTGGGATTGGTGTACAAATCTTCAATAGTTCAACCACATTTCTAACGGGTCCGAGACAAGTGACTCCGTAAGTGGTAGCTCGCTGTCGACTACCACCTCTGTGGCTGCGGGTGCAATGAATTCTTGCTTTACCGGCTGATCAGCGTCGAGCGGTGTGAATTCAACAATCATGTCTTGTCCCTCGGGGAGTTCTCTGACGACGTCCTCGTCAACGATGATGCGGAGTCCGCGAGAATTGACGTGCGTGACCTGAGTAACTCTGTGAGGGTCGATCTGGAATTTTGCTGCAATGTTGTTGACCAGATCCTTGACGGTGCGCTGCAACAAGTATATTGCGCGGTAGTATTCTTTCGCTGCGTCTTTTTGGCGCACGTAAAAGCACGCAACTATGGCCTGATTAGAAGACGACTTTGGCGGTTGATTAGGACACTTACCTGGCCGAATGGGCCTTTCCACAGGAGGCCGATAGCTGCTATCCACATCAACAGCAAAGAGATCCGGTCCAGCAACAGATGCCTCTGCTGGTTTGAGGATCTTCACTGGTCTTGACCCAGAGTCACCTCCTTTATGATCGTAGCCGTACTCGCTTTCCCCCTCTTCCAGAATGGCGGTCTGTTGCAAGTCGGAAAATTTTCTCTTTGGGGTGGCCTGTGATGCAGAGCTCGAAGATGGTGAAGCAGGATTTGACGTGGGGGAATCAGATGCACTCTGTCTGGATTCCCATGTACCGGTCCGCACGATTTCTTTGCCTTCAGGATCATCTCCAGGAAGTTTGACCGGGTGGAGATCAGGATCATCTTCTGCATCACCACGCAGAAACAAAACACTGACAGGTCTTGTCGAAGAAAACATATCCTGCATGCTGACTAGCTTCATTTGAAGGTCTTCTTCCGCGGAAAATTTGACACCATCCGCTTCCGAGTCAACGGACCAAGTCCGTTTGTGTTTCACAACTTTTCCAGGTCTGGATGCTGATGCTTTTGCAATTGAACTGCTTCTCCTTCTCTTTCCGGCACTTCCCAGGCCTGCTTCAGCTTGGGCGATCTGTTGTTTGAGCTTGTCGATCGTTTTCTTTACATGCGCAACGTCATTCGATAGTTTGCGCTCTGCACCATGATCACGGAATAGCTTGACTTTTGAATAGCATACTTCTGGCTCGTTACTGGCGCTTGTCTGAGGGGTGAGCAATTCGGTCTTAGCACAAAGTCGAACCGGGATGCCTTTGACTCCTTTCGAATGGCTAAAGTCCGTGGACAGGAAATTGAAGCGGATTGATATGGAGCAATCGGGGCTTCCGTTAATGGAATTTGGGGACCAGGTGACGGCGAATCCATCGAATGAGGCTTTCTCGAGTAGAAGTTGGGGTTTCCGTAACTCGTCCTCCCCACCTGGATTCTGGTCCACGAATTCCACTGCCAAAAGTCTCCCACCTCGCTGATGCGCCTCATTCGATCCACGGCCTTCCTTCCATAGCTGCCAACATCCACCCGGTCGCGCCCGTTGCTGTTCGTCCTCAAAGGAAACTCGGACGTAAGTCCGATACTTGGGAACGGTGTTTTGTGGCATGGGAGGGGTGGTGTCCCATATTGACATGGTGTAAGCTTGGCCTTTGTTGAGATACGTAATAGGGATCTCATCCGCGTGCCGGACCATGGCAGTCGGAGCATTCAAGGTGGTGTGAAAGCGAAATCTGCCAACAAAATTAGAGGTTGTGTAGACGAACCCGGTAGATACTAACTTCTCCCCCGAGGGTAGGCTGGTCATAGCGACGCTTCCGGACATAGACTGTCGCGTCGGTTGATTGATGTTGGGCTGCTCAATGCCGATCTCGGCGTGCGTGGGGGTCGTCTTATGGGGAGTCTCGTCCATCGCGACATAGCCAGAGTCCTGATGCTGCAGGAACTGCTGAGGAGCGAATGTCTGTGGTTGCTGCGTAGGCACATGGATAGGAGGTTGCTGGGGATGGAAAGGATCCTGGAATGGGTGAGGTTGGTGCAGAAGATGGGGATTGAAGTGCTGGAGGTGCATCAACTGGTCCTGGGCGTGGAGCCCGTGGACAGAGTGCGGTAGTGATAGAGGGGTATTCATTCCCATACCGGGCGTGTGAAGATCGCCCGCCTGAGGGTGATAGAGAGTTCCAAAGCCACCAGGAGTGGGAGTGTAGTATCCCGGAGGTTGGTTGGCAAAGGCAGAGAAGGCATAAGAATTGGGATCCATGAGGGAAGGAGTAAACCGCCAGGCGTCGGAGAACGGTTTAGGAGTAGCATCCTGTTCCTTCACCTCAGGTGGCTGGCCTTCAAAGGCTCTGGAGAAATAGTCAGCGTTGTCGGCATGGTCGTCGCCTTGGCCTGAAGGGACGTGAGTTGGAGACATTGTATCAACGTTGGAGACGACACTTGAGACGGCCCAAGTGAAGGGACTGGTGGGTTCAAGTAAGACAAATCCAAAACATACCGCTGAGATGTCGACGGTTCATCTATGATAGCCTCGCTTAAAGTTGACGATCGGCGGGCAGCGCCGGCCTCCCCATGCAGAGCTGAAGAGGTCGACCCAGGCCCTACTTCGGGGAAATTCTGCTTGAAGGCCGCGTACAACTCCTCGTCTGGTTTCTGAGTATTGCGCCTGAGAAGGCGAAATGCACGTCAGTATTGTCGTGTCGGCTAGAGGACAAGAGATGAAACGGGTATAGATCCAAAGGCAAAGACTTACCGATTGCGAAACATTTGCAGCGGGGACAGCGTCTCAGGCTTTTGGACCAGGAGAGAATGAGGTCAAATCAAAGACATGGAGCCGGTCAGATGCGCGTCGAACGGTTTGAAAGAGCCGACCGCAGTCAGGCGGAGGGCATCAGTTCAATGGCGAGCGTGCTCGGACAAGATCTGATTGCAGGAGACCCAGGAATGTAAGAGGTTCGACGAAGTTGCTGCGCCCTGTTGCATGCGCGTTTCGTCAAGAGGTCTGATCGAGGATGGGGGCTGAACGGAGTTGTATCGAGATCGCTAGGGCAGACAGTGCTCTTGGGCGGAAGAAAGTGGGCTCTCGAGAGCAATATGAAGACAGGCGAGAGAATAAGAAGAAAAAGATAGACACCCAAAAAAGATCGACGGAGTGAACGGATGAGGTACGAGGGTTTGAGATGCAAGGACGCTTGGTGTGAGTTGTGTGTGAGGTGTGAGGTAGTAAGGTGCACGTACGAGTAGGACATAGGACGCGGTGGAGCGCAGTCTCGTCAAAATGAACGGACCGGGGGGGTGGTCATCACGATGTACTGGAGGGATGGGGCCTCGGAAGCAACAGCAGCGATGGAATTAGCCACAGCCATGGCACTCGGGACCATGATTAGCAGCCCTGATTGGGGGGCCGGGGCACCAGGATGGGCTTTGAAGGGTGCTAAGGATGAAGCAACAAGGGGTGGATACTTGAGGTTCTAGCGGCCCATGAACAAAAATTGGGATGAGATGTCGATTTGCTTCTCTGCGCAAAGAATGAAGCAGGTACGGGCCTCCGTTCAGCGTACTTGGTAAGGCAACATCGAAGCCCATGTTTAGCATGGAGCCTAATTCCCAAAGCCTAAACACGGGGGCTCCACTGCGATCCACCCAATGCGCCTAAAGCTCTGAACTGAGCCACGCCTACAAGGAATCAACTGGGGGTGGCCATTGGAGCACTGAACGGAGCTGCCACTTGGAACAGGCTTAGCGGCAGAGCCAGACGTGGCGTTCGGTAGGAGTCAGTGGCAGGCGGTGGCAGGGCGGTGGCATCACCAGTGGCACCTCAAGCTCACGGACACCCGCCCATGTCCACTACGTGGCTGGTTCGGGGTTTCTTTGTGGGTGACTTGCCCGTCACTCTTTGACGCTGACTGGCCAAATCTCCTGCGTTTCAGGCCAAGGGCCCGTCCATCATGCACCTCTAGCCACTTGCTCCTCTCTCACTTCTCTCCCACTCTCACAGTCTTCCCCCTCATTCCTCCTTCCTCAACTTGCCCTTGCTATCGTCGGCCTCATCTCCCTGTACCCTGTTGACTGGCTGTTTCTCGTTCAACACTTCACCTCCTCGAGCCAGGTTCATCCCTACCATGATACCGGAAGTTTGTGGCAGAAGTCTCTTCCTATGCAAGGTCCGGATGAATTGATCGACCTGATCGACCGCACAGCTGCACAGCCACACAGCCACACGTCCTCCCTCCCTTGGTGTGGCTTTTCAGCCTGTAGTCTCCTCGAGTGCTGTGGCTGCTCCCTTTGTGGCAAAAAAAAAAAATGGAAAATGGGCCGGATATTGCAGCCTGAGCAGCACGGAAGCGAGGAGAGAGGCGGCTTCGTCAGCAGCACATCTGCCGATGCCGGACATCCACCATACCAAGCAACCTGTGGCTTGCCCCCTCTCATTTTCCCATCTCTGTTTCCCATCTCGGTTGACAAAACCGCTCACCTTGAATTCCCCCATATTCCTCCATATTATTTTGCTGGAGCGAGATCACGGCGGACAGGTGAAACGCTCGTCAGTCATCCATCTTCAGCCACAGGCGAATTTTTGATCATCGCTATCATCATCATCAGATCGCTTATGCTAATCTATCGCTCTAGGAGGCATGAACTCTGTTGATCGCCCGCACGTGCCCCCGAAGATCAGCATTGCTTCCCTCCCGTCGATCATTCCTCTTTGTTGATTTCGCCCAGCAGCCGTCTTGAGAAGCAGGCCAATTACCGCCAACGACGCCACCATTGACTCATGGAGTAGTATTTCTCCTTCTCGGCTGGCCGCTTACACAGCGGTACAATACAGTACAGTAGTACACCACGAGGGACAAAAGGCCCTAATGATCAAGAGACTCTTCGCTGGTAGACTGATAACACAATTATCCACGGCTTCCCTATGAAACCTTAATCCGCATGACCATGGCAGGGTCTTCGACCGCCCAAGCACCGAAAGCTCCTACCACATCTATGCCCAATCTAATTCAAAACCCTCCTTTGGGGATGGAACAGCACCTGATAGAGCGGTCGATAGGCGGTCAGCCCCAACCCGCCCGCTGCGTAGCGCCCAGTAACTGAATCTCACGCTACAGTGCCTCAAGCAACACGGCCAAAATTCGTCACAATGCAGCTCCCGAAATTACATCATGTCTCTACACGCTGACCAACCACCGTGGCCGCGGCTTCTGCAACATGAAACAGAACGGGCACACGAAAAGAGAGGTTCATGATCAAGTGACCATTTGACAATCCCACAATGGATCTCACAAACTATTCGTCATTCTCCATGGCAAAGCCCGTCATACAACCAATCAGTCATCCTTGGGGCCATTGGAGAAACTCCCACATCCCAGCCTGTCATCCAACCCAACACCCAAGTGCTTCCTCCACAAGCATGTCCCCATCAGCTATCGCCTCAATCTCCGACTCGGATTTCCTGGCGCTGGCATTGGGAAGTGACCAGCAGCGTCCGAAAGATGATGAGGTCATTCCCATCAATCCGGCACGGAACGGCATCAACTCACGTTTCCAAGGTGCAACGAAGAATTATTACGGGTACGCATGTCGGCTAAAGGAAACAGCATCGATTTGAGTGGACTCTCAGAAAGACTGACCCCGGCAATCTCGATTCGAGACACTGGAACACGGGTGGAACAAATTTGGGCGGCACCACCATGAGGGAGGCCCATCTAAAAGTGGACGGGGGCACCAGATCGGTTCTTGGGAGGGCCTTACGGGACGCCCGCAGCCGAAACGAGCTGTAGCACAAAATTGGTGCCCCACCAACGTCTTTGTGCCGTGGAGACGCTATTCGCCATGCCGTTTTCCGTGGACAGCAATGCAAATTGGCCATAGAGTCCTTTGATCAAATGCCTCTTTTGGCACCTTAACGCCAACGAGGCACGTTTGGAGAATGATGAATGAAGGTTGAGATGATAGCACATGCGCACACTCACCTCGGAGTCTATCCCAGGAACCGGAGACAAAGAAAATTTCGTCTGGAAATTGCACAGGTGACTTTGAATATTCCCCGAAATACCAGGACCGGGGCTGTTGGTTTGGCAAATGAGCCCCGGACCAGTATTCTTGACGATATTCCAAAGCGACATTATACTAACATGGTTTGAGACTGCAGTTTTCTGGCCAGCCAGATTCACCTCCCCTGCACGGCAACGGTTTTCCATCAATCACATTTGGACATCGACCCCCTTGGTGAAGCCATCTGGACTGTAACGTTGCGTGCGCAAACGAGATGGGCAAGGACGCGCAAGACGAGTACGAGCTGAAGGTTCACGCCAAGGAGGGTACGAGCTCTAGAGCTTTTCAAATGAACCTCTGTGGTGCGACTGGACGCCACAAGCAATGCGCCACAAAACTTGAAAATCTTTCCGCAGGTGAAGAGATCGGCATGGATTTGACGTCGCCACTGTGGCTGGACACAGGGGTTCGGGCCATTCGTTCACAATATCCCACGAGTCTGGATGATGGCGCGGGAAGATATTGTACCACGCGTTCACAGGGACTTTTTACGAGATCCGAGGAACCTTCAGACAGTGGAGGATTGGTGAAAGGGAGAGGGTCTAGAAGAGTTCACTCCCGGGAGACCCTCAAACGGCTCCCGAATTCAAAACAGAACTAACCATTGCCAATCACGACGAGAGAAGGATGGGAACGCTTCCAAAGTCAGTAAGCGAACTTGTTGAAACCCTCAGGCCACTGTCGATTAAGTCTGCCGCCAGGAGGAGGAGGCGGTCGTTTGTTTGCTGACCCAGAAGCCTGCATTGGCTAGCCGCTTTCCGTGGATATCCTTGAGATTGGCGAAGGCAACGATTTCCTTCACCAAGGTCCTATCAGGCCGAGATTTTGGCATGTGTTTGACGTATGTCTTTGGCAACGCCGTCGAAAACGCGAAAGGAACTGCTGGACCCGGCGGAGCTAGGGTACGAGCAGTCGCCGTTCTGCCTGGGCGATTCCCTCCTCTCCAGAACCTGTTGGAACTCCTGAGTGAGCAGGGAGAAGCGATTGGCTGTCATGAAATCGGTTGACAGCTCTCGGTGCGGTTTGTTCTCGCCGTAACCACCCATTCATATGGAAGATGTCGTTGAGCGGCCTGGCAGTATCCGTGGCGGATTGGACTACCCTACGTCCTTTTTATGTTGCAAGCAGCGCACGTGCCCGCTTCTATCGTATGGGGGGGAACAGAAGTAGATGTTGTGACTGACTGAACTGTTTACAGACTGAAATCCTCATTGATCTCCAGGTCCAATCATCGAGTAAACGAGTATCCCGCAGTGCGGAAGGAGAAAGGCGGCAGAAATTGACCCTCTTGGCGAAGACTGGATTTTCTGTGCACTCGATAGCAGGTTAAGGTGCACAAGGCTTGTTGTCACAGTCGCGCAGCGTCCAACCCCTCTTGAGCGTTCGAGCACAGCGGTACTGTGAACCCCAGCGAGGCTATCGTGCCAAAAGGTATACAAACTGGATGGGGGTCGAGACAGAGGGAAGGAGGCGGAGGGAGGGGGTTCCCTCACTGGCCACTTCTGGAGTGATGTTCAGGCTTGATCAACCTATGTTTGTCGTGTCAAGTGGGAACCGATCCTCCTGGATTCCAATCGGCCTCTACAGAAGCATCGTAGACGGATGCGAATCACATGGAAATCGAGGCTGAAATGTATTCTTGAACTTACACCCCCAATCTATATACCTAGGTAGGACGCCAGGATTGCCTGGAAAACACACAACACATC